GGCATTGTAGTCTACTCTTCCAGGTTCAGGAAACAGTCCTCCATAAAATGCTCTGCACACATCTGAATATTTGGGTTGAACTGTTCTGGAACAGTGGTGTAAATATAACTTAACCACTGATTTCTAGTAGTGTCCTCTCTTGGAAGGCCAAACAAAGTAATTTCGCTTTCACAACGAAACACAGTCCTGGGCCCTGTTCACAGACAACTTGGCACCCAGTATGTTTATTGGGTGAGGGGTCTGTGAACGTTTGTTAATCTAATGAATAATTGATTTGTTAAATCAAATGAAAAATGGTGTGTCTGATTGGTCCAGACGCTACACAACGAAACACACATCTTCTCGACATGGCGGCAGCAACAATACTATAGCGAGAATAAAAGTTATGCCTTCTTTCTTTGCGTGAACATTTGGGCAGCGTTATGCAAATCTTCCCACATCGTGACGTAGACATGTGGGGGCGTGTTAGAACGAGCCGTTTTAGGTAGGCGTGGCTGACTCTTAACTTTTATAAAGAATATCTCTTTGGATTTGAAACTTTAGTCTTTGCAACTTTACAGATCTTCTTTATGCACCAAGAGCTTGTAACACTTCAAAGAGAAAGGAAAAATTGAAATCGCATCATATGACCCCTTTAGTCAAAAGAAGATACAATATTTACTATTCAGTATAAATACAAATATTTCATCGCTATATTATTGAAGACTAAAAAAAGAGTCACTGTCATTTAGGAAAGAGAGAGTTTACGTTAGGATAGATGGATACATATGTCAAAGCCAATGAATGGACTAGACTTACAATTCATTAAAAGTTTCAAAATGCAGTTAAAGTTTTAAAATACAGTAAAAAGAAAGACAGAAAGGAACGCAATGTCTTCATTTCAATCTATGGGAGATTATACTAAGAGGCAATGAATTAATAGTAACACCGTGTTTATACCGGACGCGACAGTTGTCGTGTCACACCGCGCCACAACAGCTAAAGTCTGTCTACACTGGACGCGACAAAGCGACCGTTGAAAATCATTTGAAATTTGTGTCAGTACGTCATAAATAGAATGCAGCAGCAGTTTACTGTCGGGAATTTGTCGCGCCGCATCCAGTGTAGACAGCATAGGTTCTATTGTATTTTGTTGCGTCGCGCCGTGCCGCTCGCATCCGGTGTAGACACGGTGTAAATGTAGAACTTGATGACTTTTGACAAAAAGCACTACATTATATCCCACTGAAAACCCTAAAATTATTTCACGAGTTCGCACTAACATATAATATGATTGAGCAATTACTAGCATATTTGGCATGCTGTCCAGAGGGAGGGCTCCGAGCTCGGGATAGAGCCCGAACCCAGAGAAGTCCCCCCCCATCCCAAGAATGGGATGAAATTAGATTAAGAGTGAGGTGTTGAAGTGGAGGCGGGATGCTGGAAAACTGTTGTGGAACAGAGGTAAGTTGGCTGTATATATACACGTATTGTGCTTGTTAAGGTGATTAACTGACGAGCTCCACCTGGGCCAGACCGATTGATTATCTAATCGTGCTCCTCCCGAACCTTGTTAATGAAACATCATATATGATATTTAATTTCAAAAACCACTCACACTAACTCAAATGCTACATTGTGAAGCATTAACCTGGATCTATCTGACCGTGAGGTTGCACAATAAAACACTACTCTAGAATTTTCAGTGTCATCATGTTAGAGTTAATGGGAATGTCTGCATCATTGATAACCGTACTGGGAAGGACATGGCAATTTCTCAATCAGGTCACACTGCAAATCACATGGCAGTCTGTTCATCCCAGAATTAACCTTAATGGTTTCACTAACGTAACATGAATGTGTCATGGCCATTGTTTCCTCATTCTTCTTTAATGCATACAGTATATGATTACACAGCTCAATTAAGACCTCAATACAAGCAAGGTTAATATTGCAAATTAAAAACCTTTTACTTTAAGGAAAATTAACATTTAGTTTATAATATACCTATATTCTACCACATAAAAATCAATTATATTATTTTACCACTGAAAACTCCTAAACAGACTGGGCAAAAAGAAAAAAAAATCTCTTGTTGAGCCTGCAAATTAATAATATCAAAGGTATGTACTCTTTTATATGACAGAGCCATACAAATGATAGGTTGTACAAGCAACGTAAATAGTAAGGACACTAAGTGAAACATGTTGCAACTGATTCCAGTGGATCAGAGTTGAATGACCTACATTAGAACTAACAAAAGAAAAACTCTCTTCATTAGAACCTTAAAGTGACTGTTTTGCATCTGCCTAATTTGAATACTCTGCACTTGGAGGATCAGGGCTTTTTTTGTTTAGTGATTCAGTCTCACCATTACTGGGGCAGGACACCTCTCCTGTGCCATCCTGGTCTGATGAAGGAATCACCTTATGAGACCCCCTGCGACTGCGTGGGGCACCAGCACCCTCATTCACCATCCTGCTGCTGGAAACCCAACACCAAGAACAAACGTGATCCTTCTTCAACAGGTAAATAATTTAATTCATCACCATTTAAATTACAGAATTCTAAGAATGCTATATTATCTTGATTGCATCAATTAGATCATTTTAAACTTACTAGTAAGATTTTAATTGAATTTTAAAAGTAGTCATTCTGGCCAGTCATTGAATATGACAAAGAAAAAAAAATTCTGTAATTAGCGAGAAGATTTTTATTAGTTAGTAACTAAGAAATAAGCAAGATTATCTGAGATTATCTATCCTTGTGAAACTGTAACTGGTATCAGAATAACTTGCATACAGTACTAGTCAGAATAAGTGAGCAGTTGAAATCTGAACCACAGATTCCATAAAAATCAATAAACAAAAATGTTCAAAGGAATACCCTACTTGTCACTATTAGGATAGTTACTAGTAGCAACGGGAAAAGTACTGTAAGTGATAAACTTAACGAATACTAGTCAATATTTAATTACTTTTTGGAAATAAGTATTAGTATACTACTAAGATTAAAAAAAAAAGACCCTAGTTAGTTAATAGAATAAACGTTAAAATGGCTTACCACACAAATGCAAATATATTACACTAAATTAGCTAACTGTGTTGATGCTGGGCTGTCATTTTTGAGGGGGTTCAACTATTCGTCTGTATTTAGAACTAGCTTAAAACGACACTAAATATACGCACGAAACTCAATACGCTTATTGTACACAAACGATATTCATTTACCAGAAAATGTTTTCGACAAAATAGTGTCTGTTTTACAGGCTCCGTTTAAGAAAGACCAAAAAACAACGTTTAGATCACTTACTTGTGCTTCGTCCTCAATACACACGTGTGCAATAATCAATTCAGCTTTCTGAAGACAAACTCTATGAATGTTGACGCTGGCGACGCCGTATGATTGAACGAGATCAGCAGCATCAATCACACCTCATTGCATCAGGCCTGTTGAAATCAACTGAAACAGCAGGCGCTCGTTCTCTACCGGGGGCGGAGTCTGCTTCGAAACGACATCTGATTGGACGAGCGGTTAAATGTGCAGTAACAGTATCAATACCTTACAGCGTTGCCTGGTTTATGTAATGACTGGTTATCTCTCTCTTCTCAAAGATGTAATGGTGTGGAATAAATATATGAATCTCAAAACCCTTCAAGAATATATGCCCAGGTCATATTTCACCCCAAATACAAATGTGTCAAATGATGTGGTTATAGTTCTGTTTAGTTTTAATTATGTGTTTTATGTTAAATGATAAAATATTGTAAGTTACCTTTGTGAACATTACATATATGATACGGAAGTAAAGTGAGGATGTATAACTGTAAAAGGGCAAAGTACAGTGTACTAACAGCTTATGGAGAATGAAGACATTATATGGTTAGATCCTGATCTAGTCACTATTGCTCATTGATGCCCCAAGTTATTTATTAAACACATTCAAATTCACTAATGTATGTGAAATGATGCCTAGTTTTAAATGCAGTAAAAAAAAAAAAAAAAGCAATTATTTATCCAGGGTTGTTTATTGCATCATTTAGGAAGATGGCAAAAATACAGAGAATTTCATGACATTTCTCATGAAGAAACAGAAAAATTCTGCAATATATAAAGTACAAATGCCATATAGGGTTTTATTTTTTTTATATCAGTTAATAAAAAAAGGCACCGTGTAAAGGTTTAATATATGAACTTTTCCTCCACAAATTCTTACAACCTTACATAAATAAATCATTACAAATACTCACAACCCACTGACACACAACAAGTCTAAATAAATGTACATGCTCTCATACACACACAGTTTTTGCACCACTTTCAGTGTACCAGAAATCTGAATAATATAAACCCGGAGAACAAATTCACTAATCATAAATCTACCTTACATAATTATACAATATTCAAAGTCTAATTGTAGCGTATGTCCTGGGAACAATGCACTCCTCCCAGGTGCTCTGTGAATGGAATCTATTTTTGGAAAGATGCTATAAAAAGCACAAATGTCCAAGGACGATGCTCGGATCTCCTTCCCAGGGTTCTCCTCCACCCTGCTAAAGAACATCTCTTATGGGAAGGAGTTGTATGTCTCCTCCATGGAGCTCTGAATTCCCAAGAACCCTCACCTGTGCTGTTACCTGCAAAGATAAGGCAGGGAAAATACCTGGTGACCTCCTGTTATGGAATAGTTTTACTTTACGTTACAGGGTTTGGATGTGCCATTTTTTGTAAACTTCTCATTTAGAAAAGCTGTTGTCAAGTGTCCTACACTAATTACAGATTGCTTCTAACCTCACAACCATGTTGTGATATGAGAACATGGGATGGATGGATTTCTTCATTGGAGTCTCCCCATAAGCGTAACACTCTCTTAGTGGTATCCTGGTGTTTAACAGTGGGGCTGTGTTTTTTTTAGAACATGTCAGGCTGATGCTTTGTGTGGCAGAGGTACTGTGTAACCGTAGGAATCACAGTTGGACAACATCGAGATCTCTGTACTCAAACTGTGGAGAGCAATAATCAGAAAATTACGTTCATGAAGATACCTGCTATTCTTAATAAAAATGATATTCACAGCACTGTTTCCATAGAAACAAAAATCCCACTTTTGTCCATCTCAGAGTAAAGAAAAACATCAGTTTATGTGTCTTAGAATCACCAAAGGAGACTGACTGTGAAAATCCTCTTACTTTAGACCGGACAGGAGACACACAAGTTAGACCACCAGCAGTAAAATTACAGAACACATGGAGAGCATCAAATGGACATCCGACAACATTTTGTGATCCTCTTCTTGGAGCATGAGGTGGAGTATGATGCCCTGGTATCTGCTGGACGGGAATACCTGGTTTTCCCTTGTGAGATGGTGAGAGTGAGCAAGAATATAAGATGAAGACACAATCTCTTAAAAAGGAATAAAATAAGTATGACATTAAAGTTAAAGTGTGAAATTAAAGTCACATGCAGGAAAACTATTCCACTTACAGGAAGTCCTCTCCGACCTTTCACACCTTTCTGTCCTGATATTCCCTGAACTCCTTTCATACCCTGTTGATATAAACAATACTTAAGAAAGCACATTTAACTCTATTAAGCTTAATATACTTGAGGTCAAATCATATTTCAAATCCCATATTTTCAATGTTTCAGTGTCACCCTACTGAACATTGCCGTTTAAATATTGCATGCCGGGGCACTGCAGGTCAGTTTGACTCTAATAAGATCTGTATCTATACTGTACCTACCTGGTTCAGGTACAGGGCAAAGATAAGCAGAGCTATATAAATTACAACCACACCTGCAATTTCAGTACACACCTTCCTTCCAGTTGGACCCTGTAGAGCAAAACAAGAAACTGTGTCATCTATGCCATTGTTCTAAAGCAGATAAAGCTGGTCAATGAGTTTACAAAGAGACATACAGGTAAACCAGGGAATACTTTGCCACCAGGAGGCCCACAAGCACCAGCTTCACCCTGCAACAAATAACATATGAATAAAGACTCAAAAGTTCACAGTAAATAGGTCCCCAAATTACAGCAGGCAGTTATTTACCTGCATGCCTTGCGGTCCAGGCCGTCCCTTGAACCCTGGAGCGCCTTGCTTTCCCTGCAAGATGAAATAAAACATTCCTAACTACTGAAAAAAAAGCAACTGGTTGTTTTTTGATGTGCTTTCTATGTTTCATTTGAACTTACCTTTGAACTTACCTTTTCTCCTGGTGGTCCGCTGGGACCTTGCAAACCTTGCAAAAAAACTTTGAATTTGTTTTTGAAACCATGCCACAAGTCATGACCATAATATAAAACCAACATGCTTTATAATAAATTATTCAAATAGTCTGTATAAAACAAACTTACTTACAGCACTACCTGGAGGACCTGGTTTCCCCGGAGGTCCTGGGAAACCAATGTCACCCTGCAAGTTGTACAGTAAGGTAGTAAATGCTCATGTTCATGCTAAATCTGCCATATTTACCATAAAGCAATTAGGGCCCAGATCACCCTAGTAACTACATAGCAAATATTCAGAACACCCTAACAATGGCATAGTAACAACCCACAACATCCTAGCTGTAACGTGGCTGCTTCAGAATGAGGGAAAGCAGGACCCAGGTGCAAATATAAACATAAATCCAGGCAAGAGCAATCCAAACATGGGCAAGAAAAACAGAACTGACAACAAACACATGATTCATCCATGTAGAACAACACCAGACAATGAACAGAGGAAACACAGGGGTATAAATAAACAAGGGGTAACAAGCTTAACAAGATAACAAGACACACCTGGGAGAACCAACAAACAACCAAACTACAAACTGACTACAAAACACACAGAAAACAGGAAATGACATAAAAGTCCAAACAACACAGGCAACATGTAAGACTAGCGTTGAGTTTGCATTGGTAAGCACTACTATAAAATGTAAATAAAAGGAAGCTACTCACTGGGTCGCCTCCAGTGCCTATAACTCCCAGCAATCCATCTGTACCACTACGTCCCTTAAACAGAGTTAGTGTAAAAGTCAATCATGTTCGCATGATTCACATCCAAAATAAATGTTTTTGTATACATAATATATATGTGTGTAACAACAACAACAACAACATTTATTTATAAAGCACATTTAAACACAGTGTAAATTGATCCAAAGTGCTGTACAGTGATCAAACAAATCTACTAATAAAAATAACTACACACATACAAAGGCTAAAGAGTAAAAATAAGATTTAAGTCTAGACTTAAAAATGTCCAAAGAAGGAGCAAATCTCACATGATAGGGGAGACCAGTCCAAAGCTTGGGGCCAACCACAGAAAAAGCCCAATCACCCTTTGATTTGTACCGACACTGTGGTACAGTTAGAAGCAAGTGACTCGAAGATCTAAGTGCCCTAGCAGGACAATATGGCACAAGAAGTTCAACGATATAACTTGGTGCACAACCAGACAATGCCTTATAAACAAACAGAAGAATTTTAAAATCAACCCTGAATTTAACGGGAAGCCAATGAAGGGATGATAAAACATCAGAAATGTGATCCCTCTTTTTTGACCCAGTCAAAAGTCTTGCCGCAGCATTTTGAACAGCTTGCAATCGTGACACTGAAGATTGAGGAGGGCCAGAATAAAGAGAGTCACAATAATCCAATCGAGATGTAACAAGTGCATGAATCACAACTTCCATATCCTTCATTGAAAGAAGATGCTTCAACTTTGCAATACATCTCAAATGGAAAAAACCTACTCTAATAACAGCACTAATTTGTTTATCAAAAAATAGAGAGGAGTCAAAAATCACTCCAAGGTTTTTGATTTGTTTGCGTACATTAGTTGAAAGTGGACCTAACTGAACTTCCAAAGTAGGAGACGAGTGTGCAGGGCAACCTAATATTAAAACCTCGGTTTTGTCCTCATTTAACTGCAGGAAATTATTAGACATCCATGTCTTAATATCATGTACACATTTCAATAATACATCAAATGAAACAGCAGAATCAAGCCTTACTGGTAGATCAAACTGAGAATCATCCGCTTAACAATGATATGATCCAAGTCTTAATATCATGTACACATTTCAATAATACATCAAATGAAACAGCAGAATCAAGCCTTACTGGTAGATCAAACTGAGAATCATCCGCTTAACAATGATATGAAATACTGTATTTTTTAAAAATGTGGGCCAAGGGAAGCATATAAAGGGAAAACAATAAAGGTCCCAAAATGGATCCCTGGGGCACTCCACACAAGACAGGTGCAGAGAGGATGAGGAAAAATTTCCTAAATTTACAGAAAAAGTCGATCAAGAAGAATGTTATGGTCAATGGTGTCAAATGCCGTGCTCAGGTCCAACAATATCAGCACAACACAAGCACCTGAATCCAGAGAAAGCAGCATATCATTTGTAACTCTCAATAGAGCTGACTCAGTACTGTGTAATGATCTAAAACCAGATTGAAACTTATCTAAAACACTAAAAGAATCCAAAAAAGACTGAAGTTGTAAAAACACTACTTTGTCCAAAAGCTTGCTGATAAAGGGCAACTTAGAAATTGGCCGATAGTTACAGAACATTGCTGGGTCAAGCTGAGGTTTTTTCAGCAGAGGTTTCACAACTGCATGTTTAAAACTGGCTGGAACAACACCTTTGGCTAAAGAGCTGTTCACTATAGCTGTTACAATAGGACTAATAGTAGAAAAAACATCCTTAAAAAGACGTACAGGAATAATATCTAACTTAGAACCAGAACACTTCATAGTAGAGACAATATCATCTAGCTGATGTGATAAAACAGGTTGAAAGGAAGACAAACAACTTGTGGTACAAGGCAACTGCAAATGAAGTGGTTCAGAAGGAGCAATGGAGGTTCTGATAGCATCAATTTTTTTAGTAAAATAGTTTAAAAAATCCTCACAAAGCTCCGAGGAGGCCTCAGATAATAGATTCATAGTTGGGTTTAAAAGAATCAATCATATCAAACAATGCTTTTGGTCTATTCACATTATCAGCAATTAACTGAGAGAAATAACTAGATTTTGCATGTTTTACTGCTATTTGATAATTAGAGACACTTAACTTTAAGATATCACAGGAGAAATGTGATCCCTCTTTTTTGACCCCGTCAAAAGTCTTGCCGCAGCATTTTGAACAGCTTGCAATCGTGACACTGAAGATTGAGGAGGGCCAGAATAAAGAGAGTCACAATAATCCAATCGAGATGTAACAAGTGCATGAATCACAACTTCCATATCCTTCATTGAAAGAAGATGCTTCAACTTTGCAATACATCTCAAATGGAAAAAACCTACTCTAATAACAGCACTAATTTGTTTATCAAAAAATAGAGAGGAGTCAAAAATCACTCCAAGGTTTTTGATTTGTTTGCGTACATTAGTTGAAAGTGGACCTAACTGAGCTTCCAAAGCAGGAGACAAAAGTGCAGGACAACCTAATATTAAAACCTCAGTTTTATCCTCATTTAACTGCAGAAAATGATTAGACATCCATGTCTTAATATCATGTACACATTTCAATAATACATCAAATGAAACAGCAGAATCAAGCCTTACTGGTAGATCAAACTGAGAATCATCCGCTTAACAATGATATGAAATACTGTATTTTTTAAAAATGTGGGCCAAGGGAAGCATATAAAGGGAAAACAATAAAGGTCCCAAAATGGATCCCTGGGGCACTCCACACAAGACAGGTGCAGCAGATGAGAAAAAAATTCCTAAATTTACAGAAAAAGTCCTGTTATCGAGATACAAGGCAAACTACTTAAATGCAGTGCCTCGAATACCTACCACACATTCAAGTCGATCAAGAAGAATGCTATGGTCAATGGTGTCAAATGCTGCGCTCAAGTCCAACAATACCAACACAACACAAGCACCTGAATCCAGAGAAAGCAGCATGTCATTTGTAACTCTCAATAGAGCTGACTCAGTACTGTGTAATGATCTAAAACCAGATTGAAACTTATCTAAAACACTAAAAGAATCCAAAAAAGACTGAAGTTGTAAAAACACATATTAGTGCTGTCAAACGATTAATCGCGATTAATTGCATCCAAAATAAAAGTTTTTGTTTACGTAATATGTGTGTATACTGTGTATATTTATTAAGTACCGTATATACATATATATATACACACACACATGCATGTATATATTTAAGAAAAATATGTTTATATATTAAATATATTTATATATGATATCATTTATGAATATAAATATATACATGTAAATATTTTCAAAATATATGCTGTATGTGTGTCTTTATATATACATAATAAATATACACAGTACAGACACATATATTATGAAAACACAAACTTTTATTTTGGATGTGATTAATTGCAATTAATAGTTTGACAACACTAATTTTAACATATTTTAAATGTAATTTATTCCTTTGATGACAAAGCTGAATTTTCAGCAGCCTTTGCTCCAGAATATATTGTGTGTTTGATTGGTCCAGACGCTACAAGAGGATGAGAAAAAATGTCCTAAATTTACAGAAAAAGTCCTGTTCTCGAGATACGAGGCAAACCACTTTAATGCAGTGCCTCGAATACCTACCACACATTCAAGTCGATCAAGAAGAATGCTATGGTCAATGGTGTCAAATGCTCAGGTCCAACAATACCAACACAACACATGCACCTGAATCCAGAGAAAGCAACATGTCCTTTGTAACTCTCAATAGAGCTGACTCAGTATACTGTGTAATGATCTAAAACCAGATTGAAACTTATCTAATTTGAAAATTTACATGTATATATTTATATTCATATAAATTATATCATATATAAATATATTTAATATATAAACGTAACATATTTTTCTTAAATAAATACATGCATCTGTGTGTATTTATATATACATAATAAATATACACAGTACAGACACATATATTATGAAAACACAAACTTTTATTTTGGATGTGATTAATTGCAATTAATAGTTTGACAACACTAATTTTAACATATTTTAAATGTAATTTATTCCTTTGATGACAAAGCTGAATTTTCAGCAGCCTTTGCTCCAGACTTCAGTGTCACATTATCCTTCAGAAATCATTCTAATATGCTGATCTGGTGCT